GCTTTTGCTTTTAAAAACTGTGCTCCAGGCCAGGCGTGGTGGCTCACGCCTGTTATCCTAGCTCTCTGGGAGGCTGAGGCTGGCTGATTGCTTAAGGTCAGGAGTTCAAAACCAGCCTGAGCAAGAGTAAGACCCGTCTTTACTATAAATAGAAATAAATTAATTGGCTAACTAATATATAGAGAAAAAATTAGCCGGGCGTGGTGGTGCATGCCTGTAATCCCAGCTACTCAGGAGGCTGAGGCAGTAGGATTGCTTGAGCCCAGGAGTTTGAGGTTGCTGTGAGCTAGGCTGACGCCACGGCACTTACTGTAGCCTGGGCAACAAAGCGAGACTCTGTCTCAAAAAAACAAAACAAAACAAACCTGTGCTCCATTGCCTCTAATACAGAGCTGTGACAAAACAAAAGCTGATAAATATCAGTGTAGAAAATAATTATTATTGCCAGCCATAAAATGGCTTCAGTTACCCATGCCTTAGTCGTGGCAGTTCTCAATTTATAAATGAGTTTAGATCTAAAGTTTATTTATAATTTTTTTTTCCAACTCTACCCTATAATATTTATTTATTTATTTATTTAGACAGAGTCACTCTCTTGCCCGGGCTAGAGTGCTGCAGCATCTAGCCTATATTCATCGCAACCCTATTAATCTCCTTGGCTTCAATGCGACTCTCTCTGACTCAGTTCTCCCGAGTGCTGGACTTACAGGCATGCACCACCATGCTTGGCATAATCCTTTTTCTTATTATTTTTAGGTTGTCCATCTTATTATCCTTTATATATTGATGATATTAGTTTTTTTTTTTTTGTCTTTTTTTTTTCTTCTTTTCTCTTGTCTTATTGTTTCTGTCTTTGAACTCTTTCTTTGAGCGATCTACTGCCTCGGCCTCCCAGAGTGCTAGATTACAGGACGTGAGCCACCTGTGCTGTCTCTGATTTCTTTTTCTAAGTGGGGAAATTCCAGCATATTTAAAAATATAACAGTTTAATGAATCCTGTGTATCTGTCACTCACATTTAGCAGTTATCAATAAATGGCCAACCCGGTTTCATCTGTACTTCCCTCTCCTCCATTATCAGTTGTCTTTTGAAGGGGATTAAAATTGTTTTGAGGCCCTGGGGAAGGTATAAACTTATAAGCAATGGGTAAAACCATTGGGAGAGACTTGAGTTTACTATAAGGAAGCATTCTTGGTGCATAGTCAGAGGAGATGAATGCCTTGGAAGGTGGATAGTTTCCTGTCTGGTTAAGCTCAAATAGTACTGGAATGGTACTATCTAGTAATGTGGCTGCTGTCCACATAAGGCTATGTAACTTTAAAATTAAGTTAATTAAAATTTTAAAATTTTAGTTCCTTAGCCACATTAGCCACCTTTCAAGTGGTCACCCACTGTGTGTGCCTAGTGGATACCATATTACACAACATGATATAGGACTTTTTTTTAATTTATAAATTTATTTTGTTGCATGCATAGATTGCACAGTGGTTAAGTCAAAGCTTTCAGGGTATTCACCACCCTAATAACATGCATTGTATTCATTAACTAACTTCTCGTCATCCTCACCCTTCTGTCTCCATTATCTATCATTCCGTCCACATTTTTTAGGAACCACTTATGAATGAGGACATGCAATATTTGTCTTTCTGCATCTGGTTTGTTTCACTTAAGATAATGATCTCCAGTTCCATCCATGTTGCTATAAAAGATGATTTCATTCTTTATGGCTCAATAATATCATTGTGTATGTATATTGCATTTTGTGCAGTAATCTGTTGATGAATAATTAAGTCAATTCCATATCTTTTTAGTCTGAATAAATCTGGGAGAAACTTATGAGCACAGGTATCTTTTTGATATATTCATTTCCTTTCCTTTGGGTATATACCCAGTATTGGGATTATTAGGTGGAATGGTAGTTCTATGTTTAGGTCTTTTTTTTTTTTTTTTTGAGACAGTCTCACTTTGTTGCCCAGTCTAGAGTGAGTGCCGTGGCGTCAGCCTAGCTCACAGCAACCTCAAACTCTTGGCTCAAGCAATCTTTGTGCCTCAGCCTCCTGAGTAGCTGGGATGACAGGAATGCGCCAACCATGGCTGGCTAAGTTTTTTTTCCCTATATATATTAGTTGGCCAATGAATTTCTTTCTATTTATAGTAGAGACAGGGTCTTGCTCTTGCTGGTTTTGAACTCCTGAAACTCGAGCATATTCGCCGCTCAGCCTCAAGTGCTAGGATTATAGAGCGCGACACTGCGCCTGGCCTATGTTTAGGTCTTTGAGAAATCTCTGTAGTGTGTTCTATAGAGGGTTTTTTTTTTTTTGAGACAGAGTCTCACTATTTTGTCCGGGCTAGAGTGCCGTGGCATCAGCCTAGCTCACAGCAACCTCATGCACAGGCTCATGCCTGTGATCCTAGCAACCTGGGCAGGAAGGATTGCTTGAGGCCCGCACTTTGAGCCAAAACTCCTGGGCTCAAGCCATCTTCCTGCCTCAGCCTCCTGAGTAGCTGGGACTACAGGCATGCACCACCATGCTCGGCTAATTTTTTCTATATATATTAATTTCTTTCCATTTTTAGTAGAGACAGGGCCTCGCTCTTGCTAAGGCTCATTTTGAACTCCTGACCTTGAGCGATCCTCCCGCCTCACCCAGAATGCTAGGATTACAGGTATGAGCCACCTCACCCTGTCCCGTTGGCTTTTATATTTGTGTTTAAGCCAGTACCACACTGTTTTGAATATTGTATCTTTATGATAAGGTGTGAAATTGGAAAGCCCTGCTTTTGACTGCGTTTTTAAAAGATTTTGTCTCCTGTGGTCTTGTCTGATTGCTTTTGACTTATTTTGATTGTTTTTGATTTACACATTGCTTTTGGTTTATGTGTCTTTCTGAATTTATAATGGTTCTCCCTTTATGCTTTTTTTTTTCCATGCCATGCCATTTATTTGTTAAGGAAACTATCATTTTTGTGTTAAATTTACCACATTCTGTATTTAACTAGTGAAAAAGCTGATGGTATGTATCTGTTAATCCTTATGTTCATGTTTCCTATAATCTGGTAGATTTATCAGCTTGATTAGATCCAGCCTCCTATGGCATCAAATCAGAAGGACCTTTTTTTTTTTTTTTTTGAGACAGAGTCTCACTTTGTTACCCAGGCTAGAGTGAGTGCCATGGCGTCAGCCTAGCTCACAGCAACCTCAAACTCCTGGGCTCAAGCGATTCTGCTGCCTCAGCCTCCCAAGTAGCTGGGACTACAGGCATGCACCACCATGCCCGGCTGATTTCTTCTATATATATTAGTTGGCCAATTAATTTCTTTCTGTTTATAGTAGAGACGGGGTCTCGCTCTTGCTCAGGCTGGTTTTGAACTCCGACCTTGAGCAATCCGCCTGCCTCGGCCTCCCAGAGAGCTAGGATTACAGGCGTGAGCCACCACGCCGAGCCCTTTTTTTTTTATTTAGGCAAATTGCATAAAAGTAAGCAGAATGGTATAATGAACTCCTGCATACTCAGCTTTAATAGTTATTCACTCATGCCAGTCTTGATTCATTTATAGGCTTGTCCATTTCCTTCTTCCTGTATTATTTTGAGCCAGTATAAACTCTTTTAACTCTTTTTTTTTTTTTTGAGACAGAGTCTCACTTTGTTGCCCAGGCTAGAGTGAGTGCCGTGGCATCAACCTAGCTCACAGCAACCTCAGACTCCTGGGCTCAAGTGATCCTCCTGCCTCAGCCTCCCGAGTAGCTGGGACTACAGGCATGCGCCACCATGCCCGGCTAATTTTTTATATGTATATTAGTTGGCCAATTAATTTCTTTCTACTTATAGTAGAGACGGGGTCTCGCTCTTGCTCAGGCTAGTTTCGAACTCCTGACCTCGAGCAATCCGCCTACCTTGGCCTCCCAGAGTGCTAGGATTACAGGCGTGAGCCACCACACCCAGCCCAGTATAAACTCTGTATTATACTCTGGTGAATTTCTTTATCTTTGGCATTTTGAATCACACTTTAATTTCATACTAAATAACTATTAAAAGCATAGAGTCCGGGATATTATTGTTCTGTTACACATTATCTAATCATAAGTATACTTAGGACTAGAATATCATCTTGGCTTTCTTTGGTTTGAGATTCAGTATTTGTTATTATATGAAATAGTAGAATGATTTGGTCAGAAATACTAATTTAAAAATATTACAAGTAAAGCATAGTATGAATAGATTCAAAAAAGAAAAAAAACAAAGAAAAAGAATATGGGCTTTTATCAGTTTCAGAGAATGCTGGTTAGATAAGCTAACATTCATCTTGAATGTCCAACTACCAGGTGTAGATCAGTTTAAGTTAGGGGTTTCAATACTTTGTACCACCGTGAATCTTTTTAAAAAATTTTCCCTGCTAAGTGATTTGTTCCGAGTAAGCTGGATTATAAAATAGTTGCTCTTTATTAGTCAAAGTTGTAACTGTATTATCAATTAAAAAGTATAATGTGACTTCTATAAAGGAGAAGTAAATAGCTTTATGGGGAGGCCATACGAATTTTCAAGGATACTTAATGGCTTAAGGATACTTTCAAGGATACTTTTGTAAGTGTGGCAGCTCAGCAACCACCAGGATAAGATAACCTTCCAAGTAAAATTTAGACATTTCAGCCTTTTCATATAGGCTACAAGTGAACAGGGAAAAGAAAACTAGTGAATTCAAATGTTTGAAAAAGTATAGAAATTTGGTTAGGCGAAGGCATTTTATTTCTTGTGATGCAATTTCAGAAAGGCAGCATAACCTAGAAAAAAGAAAAATCTGGACAATAGATCACATACACCTGATTAACAGCTCTACTGCTCATGAACTAGGTGATTTTGGTCATTGTTGGCTGGGCATGGTGGTTCATGCCTGTGATCCTAGCAACCTGGGCAGGAAGGATTGCTTGAGGCCAGCACTTTGAGGTTGCAGTGACCTTTGATGACACCACTGCACTCTAGCCTGGGCAACAGAGGGAGACCCTGTTGGATTGGGGGGGGGTTAGTTTCCTCACCTGTAGAGGGTGATAGATTAGGGGTAATGCATGGTGAAGTGCTTACCATGGGGTCTCTGGTTTATGGTAAGTTCTATAAATTAGTCATATTACTTAGACTTTAGAAATTTCTCTCTGTGCTGTGTGAGAGGCAAATAGTTACAGAATCAGAATGGTAGAAATGAAAGGAATCTTACAGGTCTTTTGGTTCAAGTCATTATTTTGTCAAGGATAGAAGGTGAGGAAGGTGGTAGTAGAGTTGGAGACCCAGCCAGGACTGGCCTCAGAGTGCTGAGACCAGTGCTGCTCTACCAGGAATGGCAGCAGTCATACTACTAGACTTTTTGGACCCGAATTGGGCTTCTCCTAGACTGTTTGACATTTTGGCTTAATTTGAGTGTTGCGATTATTTTATTAAAATGAAATCCCAGTACTCTTGTTCCAGAGTGACTAATATTTATGAGAAATACAACATTTCACTTTATTAATTTTTTTATTCTAAGAGGCCTAATTTTTTCCAGAGGAACGAGCCTTAGATTATATTATGTTCTTTAATTATATTCACTTGAAAATAGAGTCCACTTTACTGGAAATTACTTGACAGCTGATTTTTGTATATTGTATCTTTTCTGATTGGGGAAGTTGGCAGGGAAAGGTGCTTGTTATAAGGATATTCACAGAGGCACATATCATTTAGAAGTAAAAGTGCTTTGAATGATTTAACACATTACCTGATTTTTTACAGGTTGGGGGAAAAATGGGGGTTGATTTGGTGTCATATATGTTGGTTAAGAATAGAATATATTTTGCTTCTGAGTAACTCTTTATAACAGTGATTGGTTACTTTTGGAATAAAGATTATTATCAATTTGTGTTTAGTGTTAATTTTTTCTTCTAGTAGGCTATTTTTATTTTTACTTCATTTATTTGATTTTGATAGAGTTTACATTGTTTCCTCTTTCCTCCCTTCCATGACCCCTACCTGTTCTGGGTCTCTGGGCCAGCAAAGCACAGATAGAGCCATACTTAGGTAGACTTTAGACTTATTAGATGAGTTCTCCCAACAGATAGATAACCTTTTATTTGAAAGGAATTATAAAACATTTTAAGTTAGAAAATATTTTTAGCTTATTTTAGCCTGTTGAATTTAACAAAAATAATATTTAATCTTTTCAGAGGTCGAAACAGTAGCAAAGGACTGCCTCAGTCTACGGTAAGTAACTTCAATGTTATTTGTTTTGGAAAATTAATGGCTAAAACATGATTTCTAACAACAGACCAAATGCCAAGGCAAGAAAAAAATTCCCTTGAGTTTTATCACAGGTAACTATTACAGATCAGTACTGTAATCTGTAGGACAATGTTACTAGCTATACTTTTTTATAACTCCAGTGTATAAAATGTAAAATTATCTAAATAGTATTTTTGTTAGGCATAATGACAAGTCATTTTTTTCTTTTATAAATGACTAAAGGCAAATCTAAATGATTAATCCCCAGAAGATAAGTAGAACACCAGGACTGGGGTTTATAGAATTCTTTGGATTTTTTATTTTTAATTAATTTAATAATTTGCATTTTTTTTTTTTTTATCACTCCTTTCATTCTTCTACCTTGGAATGGCCCTTCTGGTTTTATTTTTCGAACTTTATTAGTGAAATTAAACTAGACATGAAGGGCATAAAAGTGTAAGTTCTATATGATGGAAGACATAAAAGAGAAGTCACTAATTTTTAAGACTTTGTCTTTATTGGACAGATTGCTTTTATAAGAATAAGGATGCATACTTACATAGTATGTAATGGAGAGTGATATGGGTGATCAGATTTAAGCGCTATCACTGTTTCAGATATGCTGGGAGCACCTACTCAAGGGTTCTTCTGTAATACAGTGGTGTACCCTTACCCTCCACCCCATTTATTTATTAAAGCATACTTCACCCTTTGAGTGAGTTTTAAGAAATGTGTACAATGATGTAACCACTGTCACAGTCAAGATAACAGAACAGTTCCATCACCCACCAAAATTCATCATGCCACTTTGTAGTGAACCCTCTTCCTCTCACTCCTCAACTGTTGATTTGTCTTTGTCTGTATGGTTTTGTTTGTTTTCATATGTGGTAGTTTAGTTTTGCTTTTTTTGTATAACGTATAGTCAAAATATTGTTAGCGGGTATGACCGATTTCATTTTTAAAAACTTGACCTATTCTCTAAGGAAGCAAAAGATTTTAGTAAATCAAATCTTCCTTTAATACATGTAAGGTATTATAAACCTATCTAAATGTTTTGTAACAAAATAAATGTTAATGTTAATATATATGCAAGTGTACATATAGGTTGAGCATCCCTAATCTGAAATCCAAAATGCTCCAAAATCTGAAAGTTTTTGAGTGCTAACATTATTCTCAAAGGAAATGCCTATTGGAGCATTTTGGATTTTCGAATTAGGGATGTTCACCTGATAAGTACAATGCAAATATCCTAAAATCCGAAAAAATCTGAAATCTGAAACACTTTCTGTCCCAAGCATTTCAGATAAGGGTTATTCAATCTGTATTAATTTCTAACATTGCCTCTTTTTTTTTTTTTAATATTACAGATTTCTTTTGACGGAATCTATGCAAATATGAGGATGGTTCATATACTTACATCAGTTGTTGTAAGTTATCACATTATTAGAGATAAAGTGCCTTAAGAGTGGAATAAAGTAATTTCATGACGTTAAAATGTGAATGAATGATTCTCAAAGTAAAACTTCTTAGGGCATGTTTAATCAGGATGATTTAGAAAAAGTAGCTTTCTTTATCCAGTCTATTATTCAACCTCACTGTAAAAGAACAGTCAGCTCTCTGTAAACATGGTTTCCACATCTGTGGATTCAGTCAACCTTGGGTCAAGAATATTCAGGAAAAAAAATGGATGGTTGCGTCTGTACTGATATGTACAGAATTTTTTCTTGTCATTATTCCCTAAATGATACACTGTAACAACTATTTATATGGCATTTGCATTTTGTTAGGTATTATAAGAGATTTAAAGTATTCCAGAGGGTGTGCAAAAGGTTATATGCAAATACTATGCCATTTTATTTATTTATGTACTTTCATTTATTTTCCTTTCAAGTTAGAAGCAGATACTATGCCATTTTATATAAGGGATGAGCATTGTGGTTTTTGGTATAAAGAAGGGGAACCAATCCCCTACAGATACTGAGGGAGACTATTCTTGTCAACTCTGCTGTGTATAAAACAATGTTAGTAGTTGATTGTCTTGTGTGTTATTTTGCCATTTAATATAGCTGGAGTTAGGAATGTTTAACTTCAGGCCAGGCTTGGTGTCTCATGTCTATAATCCTAGCACTCAGGGAGGCCAAGGCGGGGCATTGTATGAAGGCAGGAGTTTGAGACCAGCCTGACCAAGAGTGAGACCCCATCTCTACTAAAAATAGAAAAAATTGGCTGGCCAACTAAAAATAGAAAAAATATTAGCCGGGCATGGTGGCGAGCACCTATAGTCCCAGCTGTTTGGGAGGCTGAGGCAGGAGGATCACTTGAGCCCAGGAGTTTGAGGTTGCTATGAGCTAGTCTGATGCCTGGGCACTCTAGCCTGGGAAACATAGCGAGAGTCTGTCTCAAAAAAAAAAAAAGTTCAGTATTTAAATTTGAACTACAAACACCGAATAGAGCCTCCTGAAGAATTTTGAGAGTTTATTGTATTGTTAATGTTTTGAAATTTTTTGTTCTGTCAGTGAATACCTAATATTGAATGACCTGGTGAACTATAAACTAAAATGATAACAATTACACTGATGATTGGGTAGCATACTGTTTCTTTGATAATTTAATTGTATGTTTTTAGGGATCCAAATGTGAAGTACAAGTGAAAAACGGAGGTATATATGAAGGAGTTTTTAAAACATACAGTCCTAAGGTAAAATTTTTACTCTTTTACTTTTTCTTATAAAATGAAAGAACAATTTCATAGTCAATGTTTTACCTGATTTTTAAAAGCACTTTGAATGATTTTACTCTTTAGTTTCAAATGCTGATATTTTATAAACTGATTTGTGTAATCAAAAAGACTTCTTGGCCGGGCGCAGTGGCTCACGCCTGTAATCCTAGCACTCTGGGAGGTCAGGAGTTCGAAACCAGCCTGAGCAAGAGCGAGACCCCGTCTCTACTATAAATAGAAAGCAATTAATTGGCCAACTAATATATATGGAAAAATTAGTCTCAGCTACTTGGGAGGCTGAGGCAGTAGGATCGCTTGAGCCCAGGAGTCTGAGGTTGCTGTGAGCTAGGCTGATGCCATGGCACTCACTCTAGCCTGGGCAACAAAGTGAGACTTTGTCTCAAAACAAAAAAAGACTTCTTGATTTACATGCCATTTGTTGCAAGCATTGTAGACTTAGTAGAGGGATGCGGTGGTTTATTTTTTCCTGCCTTTTATCATCTTAATGTACTTAAGACAGACCATAGCAACACAAGCCAACTTTTAGAGGATTTTTGAATGTGAGGATTTTTGAATGATGGAGTGGATAATGTAGATCATATTTCTGGAAAAAAAAGACATATCATTATCAGGTTCTCTTTAGATAGGTTGTTTTTGCCTAAGACATATAAGAAATAGCACCTTGATGAGCTAAAGAATTTCTATCAGATTTTATTTTGTAAATATTTTGTTTATGATTTTAGTGCGATTTGGTACTTGATGCTGCACACGAGAAAAGTACAGAATCCAGTTCGGGCCCAAAACGTGAAGAAATAATGGAAAGTATTTTGTTTAAGTGTTCTGACTTTGTTGTCGTACAGTTCAAAGATATGGATTCGAGTTATGCAAGAAGAGGTGAGTTTTGATTTCCTAAATATGCCTCATGGTTTATTAGATTTATTCAAGCAGTGATTCTCCATAGTGATTGTACAGACATTTTTTAAAAGAAATAGGTGCTTTCTATGAAAACCTGATTAACAAGAGTTTTTTAGAAAAATCAGAATTTTAATGTATTTTTGTTGGTACTTTTTATAGCGTAAATAATGAGAGTTTTTGTGTGCTATTAAAGGATGGTTTGGGCTGTGCAGTGGTTTATGCCTGTAATCCCAGCACTTTGAGAGACTGAGGCGAGAAGATAGCTTGAGGCGAAGAGTTCAAGACCAACCTGGTCAACATAGTGAGACTCCATCTCTACAATATTTATTTTTTAAAAAATATCATTTGTGAAGTATTTTCTGTAGTTTCATGGTCAAGAATGCTACTTATTGTACTCAACTGAAAACTTTTTATCCTCTTTGGCTTATAGTACTTTAGTTTATAAGGGGGCCTGTAAATCTGGAAAGAAGTCAAATCATAGCGCTAAAGAAGAAAGAGCGCTGTTGATAGAAAACAATTATCTAATTAAAATGAAAAAAGTAAATAAGTGGAACATGTATATTAAACATTCAGAGTGTGAGACCTCATTTTGAGAATTTAAAAGATTATATAAAATTTAGTCTGTTTCAAGTATCCATTGAGGAACAAATGGGAATTTCTGTTATTCATTTGGAGAATGCACTGTAATACTCTACAGTGCTTAGTGTTCAATAACATGGTGAAAGGCACTTCTGGGCAATTTCGAACTTGGTTCTAAAATTTTTTATGTCAAATTCTGTAGTCAAGTATGTAATTCTGGTGCGAATTGTAATTCATTGCCATTTGATTTTTCATGTTTCAGTCTATACCCAAAGCTGCTTTTTTGTTGTTGGGTTGATTCTTCTACATTGTTATTCAGAAACTATAGTACATGAAGAAGTTAAAGCATTTCCCTTAACAAGGTTCTCGTCTATTAGTTAGCTTGCTTTTTCAGAGGTTAACAGTACTAGATGTTCTGTAACTGCTTTGAAACGCTGATGAAAGCACAGTGTCTGTTTTTGTATCTTCTCAAATGTCCATGTCTTTGATTCACAACTCTTTGTCTTACGAGGCCTTCAGCTGCTCATTCAAGGAAATAAGTCTTTTTCAGCTGCCTTTGGAGTTGATCTTGTTTATGTCTGGGAACACCAAAGTTTTTATATATATATATATATATACACACACACACACACACACACACACACACACTGTTACTATTGAGATATTCCACTGTTTTCCATTTAAAAATTGACTTTGGTCATAAGCCAAAAGGGAAAATAAAATTAATTAGTTGAATGTAATACATAGCACTCTCGAAAGAGTATTGGCTGCAGTAACAACAAAAATGTCCACTACTCTATTGATACCAGGTCATTTAGCTAATAGCCATTTTTATAGTATGCTTAGGGTTTTTTGTTTGTTTGTTTGTTTACATAGTGAATTGGCTTTTCCCAAATTTGGAAGAGTAAATACTACTTTGAGATATTTGTGGTAGCACAGTTTTGATACTCTTCAAAATTAATATCTTTAAGTTTTTATTTTGTTTTATTATGTCTCCATTTCTCAGGTCATTTCAGTTCATTGTAGAAAGCCAAGAAAATACAGGTCCAGTGACAGCTTTGAAAATATTCATTGCCCTCAAGGGGATGGGTATATTTTGCTATATACTTAAAAAATTAATTTTCTTAGTGAAGACATAAAGTATTGGAGTAATTTCAGGTGTTTATTGTAGTGGTCTAATGAATTATAGGATTATGTCCAGAGTATAGTATTATCCTGAAAATAGCATTAAGTCATGTGTTTAGGACTTCAGGTCTCTTAAGCCAGGTTTTTAACACTATCCTGGCATAAATTGCCCTCTATAAAAGAGAAGTATTAATTTGGAAACACCCTGTTTCCCCAAAAATAAGACCTACCCATAAAATAAGCCCTAGCAGGATTTCTAAGCATTTGCACAATATAAGCCATACCCCGAAAATAAGACCTTGTGATGGGCATGGCTATGCAGTGTATCTGCACAACCCATGCAGCCCTTCTCATCTGTCCCATCCTGACAGCTACTATCCCAGAGGACCAGAAAGGTGCGGGCAGCCCTACCAACAAGGTTGGCTCCGTCTGTCGGGTCCTGGCCATCCTGTGCATGCTGCAAGCTTAGGCTTTAAGGGGAAAATAACACATCCCCTGAAAATAAGCCTTAGGGTGTCTTCTTGAGGAAAAATGAATATAAGACCCTGTCTTATTTTCCAGGAAACACGGTACTATTAATATGGAGAAATTCATTTTAGAGTTATTAATTGGCATGGTTTTTATTAATGACAGAAATTGGGGCATTTAGTACTGCTTTTATATTTTTATTCATTTGTATTAGAGATAGAGATTTAATCAGATTGCTGGTCTTCTGAAGTAAAGGGTTTAATCAGTGATTCTTTTGTGTTTTTTTTTTTTTGGAGACAGTCTCGCTCTGTTGCCCAGGCTAGGGCGGGTGTCAGCCTAGCTCACAGCAACCTCAAACTCCTGGGCTCAAGCAATTGTCCTGCCTCAGCCTCCCAGGTAGTTGGGACTACAGGCATATGCTGCCATGCCCAGCTGATTTTTTCTATATATTTTTAGTTGGCTGATTAATTTCTTTTTTTTTTTTTTAAGACTAGTCAAGTGCAATTTCTTTCTATTTTTTAATGGAGACAGGGTCTCGCTCTTGTTCAGGCTGGTCTCAAACTCCTGACCTTGAGCGATCCACCCACCTCGGCTTCTCAGAGTGCTAGGATTACAGGTATGAGCCACCTAGTCACCCAGGAAGTCTTTTTTATATGTCCATTTCTCACTTCTAGAGATTCTGATTTAACTATAATTAGCCTGGGTGAGTCTGCGAATGTAACTGAGGTTCAGGCAGGGATGTGAGGAGATGTGAGCCGTTGGTTTCCTATGATGAGATCCTAGGAGTGGCCCTGTTCTGTGAACCTCGAGGATTTGTGCTTGCTTTCCTTGCCTCACATTGCCCTTTCTTACTCAGAATTGGAAATTATCTGCAATAGTCTATGCTGGTTTGTCTGATACTACCTTTCTACATCTTAAGCAGATAAATGGATTGAGGGTTTTTGAAGGATTAATATAAGTGAATGAATGATAAGAATGAAAATATTTATTACAGCTTCCTAAAAGAAGAGGGAAATTTATTTGCTTTCTGATCTTCTGTCTTATGATTCCCTTCTGTAATATTACTGTCATTATTAAGGTTGATAATAGGAATTAAAATTTGAGTGCATACTCTGTGTGTCAGACCTTGTGCTAAGTTTTTTACATGCTTTTTTTTTTTTTTTTTCATTTAATCCTCACAACTTGTTTGTGAAGTGGGTATGATTATTATCCACATGTTATAGATTTGGAAACTGAGATACATCTAAGTAACTTGATAAAGTGAGGACAACAAACTCAGCTCTTCAACTCTAATTCAAGTCCTTAACATCATACTATAGTGACATAAATTAGGTGGTTTGATTTCTTGTTTAGCTGAACTGTCTCATAATTAATCTGCATTAACATTAAAGGTTTTCACCACAAATACAGCTAAAAGTTAAAAAAAAATTCTGAAGCAATATAAGATGTAGAGTATTATAGCATTCAAGTTTTTTTTGTTTGTTTGTTTTTTGAGACAGAGTCTCACTCTGTTGCCCGGGCTAGAGTGCCGTGGCCTAAGCCTAACTCACAGCAACCTCAAACTCTGGGCTTAAACAATCCTTCTATCTCAGCCTCCTGGGTAGCTGGGACTACAGGCATGTACCACCATGCCCAGCTAATTTTTTCTATATATTTTTAGTTGGCCAGTTAATTTCTTTCTATTTTAAGTAGACACAGGATCTCGCTCTTACTCAGGCTGGTCTGGACTCCTGATCTCCAGCAATCCGTCTGCCTTGGCCTCCCAGAGTGCTAGGATTACAGGCGTGAGCCACTGCATCCAGCCTGCTAGTCTGTTTTTTAGGGCATTCACCTGCCTTTGTCTCTGCATCTGTTTACCTTGGAATTGGTCTGTTAATCTCTGCTTCTTGTTCTTGTTGTTTTGAGATAGAGTCTTGCTCTGCCACCTGGGCTATAGTGCGGTGGCGTCATCATAGCTCACTGCAGCCTCAAACTCCTAGACTGAATCCATCCTCTTACCTCAGTTGGGACTACTGGTGTGTGCCACCACACCCACCTATTTTTTTCCATTTTCCTCCTGTCTTAGCCTCCCAAAGCTCTGGGATTACCAGCTTGAGCCACCATGCCCAGCCTCTGCTTGTTATTTTGTTTTTGTTTTTCACTTGATTTCTTGTGTCCCTGTCTTGTCTGCATTTTTTTTTTTTTCTTACAGACAGGGTCTTGTTCTGTTACCCAGGCTGGAGTACAGTGATATGATCACTGCAACTTTGAACTCCTGGGCTTAAGTGATCTTCTTGCCTCAGCCTCTCAAATAGCTGGCACTACTGGCTCTTGCCACCACACCTGGTTAATTTTTAAATTTTTTTGTAGAGATGGGATCTTGCTGTGTGTACAAGATGGTCTTGAGCTCCTTGCCTCGAGCAATCCTCCTGCCTCAGCCTCCCAAAGTGCTAGGCTTACAGGCGTGAGCCACCAGTCCCAACCTGCCTTTCTTTTTCTCTTTCTGCTCTTCCTGTTGCTCCTTTATTCATATTTTGCTCATTGATTTATTTACCACAGCTCAATCTTCCATTGTTTCTCATTCTTCTTCCTACTGCTTCACTTCCTTTGTAGTAGTCTCAGCCTAGATAACAGGGGTCAGCAAATCCACTCATCAGTAAATAATTTTATTGTAACAGCTATGCCTGTGCATTTATGCGTTGTCTGTGGCTGCTTTCATACTATAGCAATAGAGTTGAGTAGTTGCAACAGACTGTATGGCTTGCAAGGCCAAAAAATTTTACTATCTGGCCCTTTACAGAAAAGTTTACCAACTCCTTGTCCTAAAT